CTGTTGAAATATTTAATGTTTTTAAAGTATTTAAATATCTCCCAATTTTCCTCCTTATGAATACATTCTATTGCATGGCTGAAAGTCTGGTTGAAAAAATTGTAGAAGTCATTAGACCATGATTTCAGACACCTGGAATCATAAATACTTATAGCCTTTGTTTTCGGTGTCAGAATAGCATATTGGTAAACCATACAATCTCTAGCATAATCCCAGCTTTGCTACTTGTGACCATGAGCAAACTACCTACCTCTCTAAATCCAAGTTCCTTCCATGTAAAAATATCAGTGTTTTGAAGTCATAAAGATTAGAATCTACGAATCTTCATCATTTCTTAGAGTGAGTTGACTAATTCTTATGTTCTTATATGGAATTCAAAGTGTACCTTTTCATCTATAATGGTCAAAGTAGAAAACAAAAGATTAATATGGCCTTATCCATCCCACCCATCCACCCATCCATCTGTCTTCCGCCCATCCATCCATCCATCTGTCTATCCGTCCGTCCATCCATCTGTCCATCCATCCACCCATCCGTCCATCCAAGAATGCATTCACTCACGCATTCACACTCTCATTCAATCATACACTTACTTATGCAACTGTTAACTGATACCTAAATCCTCTTCTGTGGCAGGCCCTGGGCAGATGACCATATCCTCAAGGAGCTCCCAGGCTCCCACAGTGGACTTCCCACACTAATTGTCTGCTATCTCTGGGCTGTGTCAGTGCCCCCTGCAGTGACAGTGTCCCAGTCTTCACCCTTCTCGGACACAGTGGCTACTACCCACTACATACAGAGATTCTATCCACAGAGTGTGCATCTCACCTGGATGGCGAACTGCCATAAGTTCAAGGGAGCTGAGCAACACACATTCAAGCAGAATAGCGATGGGACCTATGCCCTGGAAAGCTTGCAGTTGGTGAATGCATCAGTGCAGGTGTCTGAGTGGGTACTCACCTGTAAGGTGCAGCATGAGGCACAGATACCCATCTGGGCCAATCTTATACTGTCCTACACCACATACAAGCCCACTGGGAGCCCAGGAAAGCTCACCTCTACTCCTGTGAGCAGCTGGTTCACCTCTGTCTCCAGAGTGGAGTGAGCTATTTAAACTCACAGAGCCCCATTTGGTGTGTCCTTCTGCCCATTGGTATGTAGGTCCAAAGATGCCTGCCTTTATATTGTCTCTTCCTCCTGGGCCTTAAGGTGCTGCTGGTGATGAGTTTCAGTCACCTACTTCTGCAGGTGGCAGAACCTATAACAGGTAAGTTGGGAGCAGGTCTTATTCCTTAGTGAGGGAGGTCAGGGCCACCATCATGGGCTGGCAAGAGGAGTCCAGAGTGAGCCCACAAAGTCACTTGGTGCCAACAAAGGTGACCCAGCCTCAAGAAAAGGTTGTGAACACTCATTTTTCTCCAAATGTTTCTTGAAATTCTCAGAGCCTTCCAACTCTTATGCATTGTGTAGTGCCATGAAGTTTGAAGGTTTTCAAGTGAAGTTCTTTGGGACGCTGGAGGTGAGATCCAAGGAGTGGAGGTTGGATGAAGGTCAAAGATTTGAGACCCACACTTCAAAGAATCCCCTCATAAATTGTTTTCATATGATATATCTTTGGATTGAATAAAGAAACTATTACTAAAATCAACTACTAGAACCTGAGTGATTTGGAGGTGCTGACTAGCGGCAAAGATGAATGTGGGTATGGGAGAAAGCTCAGAGAGAGGTGTTGGGGTGTAGTGAGTAGGGTCTTCATTTCTGATCTGCACCGCAAGCCCAGGCCAAGTAGAGTGCCTGCCACATAGTAGCTGCTCAACAAATATTTGTGGAATGAATACATGAATGAATGAATGCCTGTTTTTCCCTACAGCTCCTGCGTGCCCTGTGACACATTGCCTCCTGTCCTCTCCAAGGGGCTCAAGTGGGGAGAAGAAGCTGCAGGGACCTGTATGTACCCAAGACCCCTGCCCTTCACTCTGCCACCCCCACCTCCACCATGGATATGCGCCCTTCCACACACCCTCCTGGTGTTCCTTCTCTCTGATGTTTGCAGCTGAACCAAGGAAGGGCTCGGGGAGATCTGGACTGTGATGCGTCGAGCTTCAAACCGGCTATTCCTTCACCCAAAGGAGAATCAAGCAGATCAAGAAAAGGGGTTTCCATCCTGCCCCTGATGATAAACAACCTTTAATTTTCAGAGCAGTTTTTACTTTTATCCAGAGTTTGAAGCATAATTTCATTTGAACACATATGTATTTTGAAATCACTGAGTTGAACGAGCATTTTTCTATTCCGAAGTATATAAAGAATAATATAAAAAATATCCATGGACTTGCCATCCTATCTTTGAAAAATATTAACATTTTGCCATTATGTTCTTCTGTTCCTTTGAAAAACACTGTCCTGAATTTGGTGTTTATCATTCTCAAGCGTGATTTTAACTTTTACAACACAGATGTAAATCATTAAGCAATATTTAATATTGCTTTGCAAGTGTTAAATTTTATATAATTGCTGTTACACCATATGCAGCATTCTGGAACATTGTTTTAATTTTTATACTTAACACAGTTTGTGGGATTTATTCAGGTTGGTATATGTAGCTCCATTTTATTGATTTTCCACTGCTCTATAGTTTTCTATTGTGAGATTATGCCACAATATCAATTTGTATCATGATGGATATTGAAGCTTCATCTAATGTTTCATTTGTACAACTTTGCAATAAACTTTCTTATCTTTGTTTCCTTGGGCACATATGAGAGAGTCCCTCTTGTTGCTCTAGTGTGGACCCCAAAGCAGGTGTTGTTATCATTTGGGAGTTTTTGTCACAGAATAAAAAGTTTTTAACTTTTGATCAACTTCTGCCTTTTCCATTTATGCCTTTCATCTAGCTAGACTTTTCTGCTGTGTGTGTGTGTGAGTGTGAGTGTGTGTGTCTGTATATTAGAGCTGGTAAGGGTCTTGTTTTTTTCCTGCATATGATAAATTATCCAGCACTTACTGACCTGCCTACCACCCTTGCCATGTAGCAAGTTTCCATAAATTCGTGGTTGTCTTTATGAGGTCTTTGTTCCATTGAGCTTCTTGTCTATCTCTCTGTCAAAACTACACTCTTAATTAGAATGGCCTCATGATAAGTTTCGATACCTCTTTTTGGGCAAATCTTCCCACCTCTTCTGGTTGTTCAAAACTGTTGCAACTGTTCTTGGCCCAAATGCATTTTTGAACCACTTTGTCAAGTTTCATGAAAAACACTTTTAAAATTATAACTTGATTGCATTGAATGCATATATTTATTCAGGCAAACTGACGTCTTTCCAATACTGAGTTTTCCCATTCAAGGACGTGCTATACCTCTATTTATATAGGTTTTCTTTTATGACTTTCAATTCACAGTTGTACAGGGAGTTGTTTTTCCAATTAACGGTCTTACGTGTCCCTAGTTAGAGCTATCTTTAATACTTTCTAGTTTATGCAATCTTTAAAAATTATTATTACTGTTTTCACTGGTTTTTGACTATCGTACGGGATTGTAACTGAGCTTTAAACATCACTCTTATATCCAGCAAGCTTATAAAACTCTCTTACTAGTGTTAATAATGTGGACATTATTTTCATGTGTAACTCTGATAACATTAATTAAATTACCTAAAATTAGCTTCAATTTTATCAAAGCTACATACACACATGGTTTAAGAGTCAAATAGTTCTATATATGAAAACTAGAGTCTCCCTAAACTCTCATCATTTTCCACCTCCCAGAGGCAACCATTTTCAACTCTTTTGACTGATTATTTTAGATTATACTGCCATATTGCATACACCATGCTTATATTCCTATTTCTTGATTTCTTACTCTTAGTCTTTTTGTGTGTGTATGTGTGAGGAAGATTAGCCCTGAGCTAACATATGCGCCAATCTTCTGTCACTTTGCATGTGGGTTGCTGCCACACCATGGCTTGACGAGTGGTGTAGATCTGCACTAGGGATCCAAACCCACGAGCCAGGCCGCTGAAGTGGAGCATGCTGGTCTTAACCACTACACCACTGGCCTGGCCCCTCTTCAGCATTTTTTATTGACTTCCCACTATGGAAGATGAAGATATAATGTTCTGTTACTCCCGACCTCATGCCACACAAGCATACTTTCTATTTTCCATCACCTTGATATAATTATACAATTTTGGCTAACTTCTAGTCAGCGTCTATGTTATAGTGACCATGAGAGTGTTATTTATAGCTGAATCTTGTAACATTCCCAGCTTTTGCAAATTTTGGTGCTCTTATGTGTGTGTTTGTGTAACCACCACCATTATCACAATGCAGAGCAATTGCATGACCGCAAAGGTCCTCCTTGTACAGGCCCTTTTGAGTGACACCCATCCCCACCACACCAGATCTCTGATAAATGCCTATCTGTTCTCTATCTCTGCAATTTCTAGAATGTTATATAAGCAGAATCATACACTATGTGACATTTTGAGATTGATTCTGTTCACTCAACAAACTGACTTGGAGAAACTTACAAGTTGTTGCACACATAAATAATTCATTCCTTCTTATTGCTGAGTACAATTTCCTTGTATGGATGCACCAAAGTTGTTTAACTATTCACTTATTATGAACATTTTGGATATTTCTTGTGTTTTGCTATTAGAAAGAAAGCTACTATAAACATTCATGCATGGGTTTTTGTGTGGACATCAGTTTTCATTTCTCTGAGATAAACGCCTGGGAGTGAAATTGCGGGATCATATAACCCACTTCCTCTCCTGAAAGAAGTCAGGAAATGATTTCTTTTGTTGACAGGGAGGAAGCCTTATTTCTGCTAGGCCTGTCCACGACTTTCTGAAAACGTAAGATGAGTAACTCCTCAAGCGTAGTCACCTATGCCTGATTCCTATTTCACAATCTAGAAGCAGGAACTGTCTAGAATCTACAAGCAGGTTGCTGTCACAGCCACATCACCCCATCATAGGCACTTCCTCTTATGTCACAGAAGGCAAGCCTTCTCTCCCCTCCACAGAGCAGGGGCGTCAGGGTTCTCCCCAGCACACACACTTGGACAGAGAAGCTCCTCAGGCCTCCAGTATGCCCGTTCCTGCCTCCTGGCCCCACCCCCCTCCTCCTTGCCTGCTGCTGACTCTACTGCTGGGACTCACGGGTGAGCATTCCTTGGGGTAGAATTCTTTCTCCCTGACCCTGGACTTTTAGGGTCTCCAGGTAAACACAGGTACACCACCCAGTGCTATCACAGAAGGCCCAGGACTGGGCACTATCTGACAGCATGAAATCAGGGATCTGAGCGTTTTCTCTGTGGATCCATCACCTTCAGCTGGTTGCCAGAGGCATCGAAACAGATGATGCTTCAAACAGCAACAAGGAGAACTTTGTGCGTGTTAACTCATCTAATCCTCACAACAACTCTGTGTGATAGCTGCGACTTTATCACTGATTTTCAGCTGGGGAAACTGAGGCAGAGAGCATAACTTGCCCAATATCACTTGCATAAGTCAGTGGAGTAGCCCAGATTCAAACCCTGGGCGACCAGCTCCAGAGTTCATCCCTTTAACCACGTTATGTTGCTCGGCTTCTCAGAGGAGGCTAATTGCAGAAAAACTAGAAAGTACAGAAAAGCAAACAAGAATAGTCGTCAGCATCATGGCGCCGAGAGGTCAGCAGAGTTCAGTTCTGCTGTGTGCGCTCGCAGACCTGTGTTAGTGATGCGTTGGGCGGTTCCTATGCAACATATTTTTACTGAGCTTTTAATATGTATTATATCTTCATTTAACCATCAAAACAACCTTGTATACTAGCATGCCAGGCCACACTTTTACATCTATTTGTGAATGCATGTATTTATGTGTGTATATGTGTGTGAGGGGGTGTGAGGAATTATCCACACATGAACAGGATTTTTGAAAAGACTTTCCTTATTGCTCTCTTCAAATGATTTTCAGTCTACATGAAATACACATTGAACAGATGCTTAACTTTCCCTTTCTCTCATCCAGCATCCTTCCTACTTCTCTAAATTTACCCCCTTTACACTCCCCCAAACTCTTCAGAGAAGCAAACTTCTCTGTTTGTGCAGTACTGTCATGGAGCCCCTCTTCCATACTGGATAGAAGTGAGGGGAAGAGAAGAGGATAAAGATACAGAGACTCCTGCCTGTATGATCTGTGTCTATAATTATATCCATATCCATATCTGTATCTATGTCATCTAATGTCAACTGAAGCCTCCATACCTCAGGAAGCTAATGAGTAATAACTTTAATTTCTTGAACACTCACCATGTCCAGACACTGTTGGAAATACCAACAGCTGTTATCTCATAAATTCATCACATCCAAGGTAGCTACTCTTGTCACCTCTACATTACAGATAAGAAAACGGGAGCACAGAGAGGTTCAGGGTCACTCAGAGGTAAATGGTAGAGCTATGATTTGAACTCAAGCAGTCTGATTCTAGAACTCATGGTTTTAACCATTACCCCACCTCCATAACATGAGATTTCTGCAGCTGCTGCCACTGGCTATGGGGAAGGGTGGGGTGTGGGGAAGAGGGTTTGTGGTTTTCTTCTCCTGGGCTTTTCTGCTTCCTGCATATGTGCAATTTGCTTTTGTTTTTCACAAAGTCATCTATATGGGAAACTCAGGTTTTGACATAACTTCCACAGAGATTACCCACTTAAAATTGACTTCAGGGTCTCAGAGAGGAGTCACATGGGGCAATTCACACATCATCCAAACAATTTTTAGATACCAACTATGTGCCAGGAGCTGATATAGGAACTTAGGGTGCATTGATCTATAAAAGAGACAAAGTAGTTGCCCTCATAGAGCTTATATCCTAGTGGGGAAATGACAGTTACAATAGACATAGCAAATAAGTAAATAATATAGTGTATCAGAAAATGATGTGCTAAGGAGAAAATTAAATTATAGTGTGGGGGATCAGACTTGGCCACCCCAAAAATGTGTCTCTTGCCTTGATTATTTTTAAGAACAAAAGACTGTGAAAGAAACTTTGATCTTCCCCATAACTGCCTAAAATAATTTAAGATAGAAGACCTGTCCCCAGGACGGGCTGTCACCATAGATAACTCTGGGTATCAGTAGACAGACTGTGAGGGTCCTTGCTAAGCTCATTCTTATCAAAGTTCTGTCTACCAAACATTTGGATTTTCCATCTCCACGTAAATTTCTTTCCTTCCCTTTGAAGTCCCAAACCACTACCCTCAACATTCTCCTTTGTCTTTAGCTGAAGATGCTACCTAATGTGACAGCTTTGGCCATTCTGGAGAGTTACTCAGTTTTCCTGGGTTTCTGCCATGTATACATGTTATAAAGCTTTGTTTGATTTTCTCCTGTTATTCTGTTTCATGTCAATTTTAATTTGTAGACCAGCCAGAAAGACCTAGAATGGGTGGAGGAATTGTCTTCCTCCCCTATAAGAGGTAGAAACAGAACTGGGAGACACTACAGGGTGGGACATGCTTAGTATGACAGTCTGCATGGGCATCAGTAAAAAGAGGAAATTTGAGTAAAGAGAAAAAGAAGGTGCAGAAGTGAGCCTTGTAGTGGTATGAGGAAGAGCCTTCCTGACTATGAACAGCACGTGCAAAGGCCCTGTGAGTAGGATCTTCATGCTGTGTTCAAGGATTTGGGCTTTTGCTCTGAGCGACTTAGGGGCCACTGCAAGGATTTGAAGAGAGAATAGATGTGATCTGCCATGAGCTTTAAATTATTCCAGCATTTGATTGAGAAGAGACTAAACAGGACGTAGATAGAAGCAACTAGAGCAAGTAAGAGGTCATTGCCTTCACGCAAACAAGAAAAAGTGGCTTGTACCAGGGCAGTAGCTAGCAGAGATGGGGAAAGAGGCCGATTTTGGATGCCTGCTGGAATCGAGCCAACAGGATTTCCTGATGCAGAGGATTGGGGGTGGGAGAGAAAGAGTCCAAGCCTTTGTGACCTGAGCATCTGGAAGAATAAAGGTGCCTCAGCTGAGACACAGAGGGCTGTGGGGAAATTCGGGAGTTCAGTTTGGGACACGTTAACTGTAGATGTTTATTTCCATCCAAGGAACAAGGTCAGTGTGCAGTTGACATACAAGTCCAGAGTTCAGGGGAAAGGCTTGGACCAGAGATGGAAATATGAGAATTACAGACACACAGCTGGCAGATGGGTCTCGACCCTCTGGTCCCTCTTCTCTCCTCCATCCTCTATTCCCTCCATTTCTCCTCCAAGATTCATCCATGTTTCTCCCCATTTTTGTCTGAGCTTCCAATCTTCTTCTCCAGACTTAAAAACCCAAACCACCTGATGTTCTGGGCACACCAAGACCTGCCCTGTAGTAGCACGTGCCCTCCTTAGGAGGCAGGTTTGGGTACAAACAGTGCTAAGTGGGTGCGTTTCACCAGCTCACAAACTCCAAAGGTGAACATAAATTTTCTCCTGAGGAGTCGCTAAGAAACAGAAAAGAACACAGAATTCATTTGTGATCCCGCAACACCCTGCGCCTCTGATTTATATTCCTGCCACCAGAATCCACCTGTTTTTGAGAACACTTCAAATAAGGAGGAATCTTTTAGTATCTCTCTCTGAGTCCAGATACTGGCTAGTCACTGAGGCGGTGACGTGGAACTGGAGAGTCTTGCACCTGCTCTTCAGTGACTGGCCCAAAGGTGACTCGCGTCCCTTCAGATAATAACTCATTCTCCAAGCACAGTCAACCACCCACAATTCTCTTCAAAACACAATTTTGAAGTCTGTGGTTTCCTTGCTTCCTCCCATGGTCTTATCTCTCCATCCAAGTGCACGTTTCTGAAATCTATCAGCCTTTAGAACCACACATTTTATCTTTTTCCTTTGAGCCATTTAGTCCAATTCAAAGGCTCTACATGGGGCGATCAGCTTGTCTTAGTACATATTTTTAACTGTGGTAAAATATACATAACATAAAACTTACCGTTTTAGCCATTTTTAAGGATACAATTCAGTGGCATCAAGTATATTCACAATGTTGTGAAAGCATCACTACTATACATTTCCAGAACATTTTCAACATCCTAAGTAGAAACTCTGTTCCCATTAAACAGCAAGTTCCCATTCTTCCTTCTCCTCAGCTCCTAGTAACCTCTGCTTTTTTGTTACTATGAATGTGCCTATTCTAGGTATGTCATATAAGTGGAATCAGTGGAATCAGTTATTTGTCCTTTTGAATGTGGCTTCTTTAACTTAGCATAATATTTTCAAGGTTTATCCATCTTATAAGATATATCAGAATAGCATTGTTTTTGAGGGCTGAATAACATTCCATTGTATGTATATGACCACATTTTGTTTATCCATACATCTCTTGATGGAAATTTGGATTCTTTCTACTACTTGTTGGCTATTATGAAAAATGATGCTATGAACACTGAAACACTGATGTACAAGTGTCTGTCTGAGTCCCAGCTTTTATCATTTTGGAGTATATACCTAGGAGTAGAATTGTTGTGATCATATGGCAAATTCTATATCTAACTTTTTAAGAAACCACCACTGTTTTCCACCGCAGCTGCACTATTTTATATTCCTACCAACAGCGCACAAGGGTTTCAATATCTCTACCTCTTGGCAAACACTTATTTTCTGTTTTTATTTTGTTTTTGATAATAGCCATCCAAAAGGATATGAAGGACTTATCTCATAGGGGTTTTGATTTGCATTTTTCTAATGACTAGTAGTGTTGAGCATCTTTTCATGTGCTTGCTGACCATTTGTATATCTTCTTTGGAGAAATATTTATTTAAATCCTTTATCTATCTTTTAATTGGGTTATTTGTTATTTTGTCATTGAATTATAAGAGTTCTTTATATATTCTGGATATTAATCCCTCATGAGATATATGCCTGCAAATATTTTCTTCCATTCTGTGAGTTGCCTTTTCACTGTCTTGATAGTGTCCTCTGATGCACAAAAGTTTTTAATTTTTATGAAGTCTAATTTACATATTTTTCTTTTGCTGTCTGTGCTTTTAGTGTCATATTGAAAAAAATCATTGCCAAATCCAATGTCATGGAGAGTTTTTCCTATGGTTTTTCTTAAGAATTTTATAGTTTTAGCTCTCATATTTAGGTCTTTGATCCATTTTGAATTCATTATTGTCCATAGTATAAGGTAATGACCAAAATTCATTCTTTTGTGTGTGGATATCCAGTTTCCCCACCATCATTTGAAAAGATCATCCTTTCCCCATCGAATGGTCTTGCCATCCTTGTTAAAAATCACTTGACCACATGTGTGAGGGTTTATTTCTAGGCTCTTTATTCCATTGGTCTCTATATCTGTTCTGATGCCAGTGCCACATTTTGATTACTGTGGCTTTGTAGCAAGTTTTTAAATTAGGATGTGTGAGTCCTCCAACTATGTTCTTTTTCAAGATCATTTGGTTATTTGGGGTCCCTTGAGATTTCATATGAATTTTCAAATAGGCTTTTCTGTCTGCAAAGAACATCATTGGGATTTTGAGAGGAATTGTATTGAATCTGTAGGTTGCTTTAGGTAGTATTCAATACTCATCTTAACAATAGGAAGTCTTCCAATCCATGAACATGGGATGTTTTTCCATTACTTGTGTCTTCCTTAATTTCTTTCAGCAATGTTTTGTACCTTTCAGTGTACAAGTCTTTCATCTCTATGGTTAAATTTACACCTAAGTATTTATACTTTTTGATGCTATCATAAATGGAATTGTTTGCTTAATTTCCTTTTTGGATTGTTCATCACTAGTGTATAGAAATGCAACTGATTTTTGTCTGTTGATTTTTTTTCCTGAAAATTTAGTGAATTTATTTATTAACTCTGTGTTTGTGTGTGTGTGTGTGTGTGTGTGTAACCTCTAGAATGGCTACATATAAAATCATGTCATGTGAAAACAGGAATAGTTTTACTTCTTCCTTTCCAGTTTGAATGTCTTTTATTTATTTTTCTTGCCTAATTGCTTTTTCTGGAACTTACAGTGTTGTGTTGAATAGAATTGGAGCAAGTGGGCATCTTTGTCATGTTCCCAATCTTAGGGGAAAAACCTTTCAGACTTTCTCTCTTGAGTATGATGTTAGCTGTGGGTTTTTCATATGACCTTACCATTTTTAGGAAATTTCCATCTATTCCCAATTTATTGGTTGTTTTGTCATGAAAAATGTTGACTTTTATCAAATGTTTTTTCTGCCTCAAATGAGATGATCATCTGTTTATTTTTCTTTTCATTCTATTAATGTGGTTTATTACATTGTTTGATTTTTATATGTTGAACCATTCCTGCATTCCAGGAATAAATACCAGTTGGTCATGGGGTAAAATTCTTTTAATGTTCTGTTGAATTTGGTTTGCTAATATTTTATTGTGGGTTGTTGCATCAATTTTCATAAGAGGCATTGGTCTGTAATTTTCCTATAGTGCATTTGTCTGGCTTTGGTATTGGGATAATGCTGGCCTACAAATGAGTCTCAGAATGACTCTGAATGAGATAGGAAGACTTCCTTCCTCTTCAATTTTTCCCCTCCCCAAAGCCCCAGTACATAGTTGTATATTCTAGTTGTCCTTCTAGTTCTTCTATGTGAGCTGCCACCACAGTACGGCTGCTGACAGATGAGTGGTGTGGTTCCGCACCTGGGAATGGAATCCGGGCTGCCAAAGCAGAGCATGCCGAATTTTAACCACTAGGCCATCAGGGCTGGCTCTCCTCTTTAAGTTTTTGAAAGAGTTTGAGGAAAATTAGTGTTAGTTCTTTAAACATTTGGCAGAATTCACCAGTGTATTCTAGTGCTCCTGAGCCTTTCTATGTTGGGAGATTTTTGATTATTGTTTCAAATCTCCTTCCTAGTTATAGGTCTATCCAGATTTCCTATTTCTTCATGATGTAGTCTTGGTAAGCTGCATGTTTCTAGGAATTCGTCCATTTTATCTAGGATATCCAATTTATTGGTGTACAATAGCTCATAGCACTCTTTTGTGATTCTTTTAATCTCTGTAAAATTTTAGTAGTGTCCTTTCAATTCTGGTTTTAGTTATTTGAGTCTTCCCTCTGTTTTTCTCAGTCAGTCTAACTAAAGCTTTGTCAATTCTGTTGATCTTTTTGAAGAGTCTCTCTAGGTTTTGTTGATTTTCTCTGTTGTTTTTCCATTCGAGTTTTATTTATCTCTGAACTAATCCTCATTATTCCCTTCTTTCTGCTCACTTTGGGTTTTGGGTTTATTTTTCTCTTTTTCTAATTTGTGAAGAGGTATATAGTAAAGTTATTGATTTATGACCTTTCTCTTTTTAAATGTATGCATTTACAGCTATAAATTTCCTATTTGCCCTGCTTTTGCTGCATCTCATAAGTTTGGTATATTGTGTTTTTGTTTCCATTTGTCCCAAGGTATTCTCTAATTTCTCTTGTGATTTCTTTTCTGACCTAGTGATTTTTTTAAGAGTGTGTTATTTGACTTCTTTGTATTTATGAACATTCCATTTCTCCTTCTATTATTGATTTCTAGTTTTATCTTACAAACTGTTTCACCAGTGCACTGCTTGAATAGTGCTTCTTTCAGATTCTGATAAGTTGCTCTGTCATTCAATCTGTGTGACAGTGCCATATACATAGGTTTTTGATAAGCAATTGGTTTCTGTAACAGTGAGAGATGTGTGTGGTAGACAGAAAAATGGCCCCTCAAAGAGGTCCATGTCCTAATACTCAGAATCTGTGAATTTTACTTTATATGGCAAAAGAGATTTTGCAGAAGTGATTAAGTTAAGACTCTTAACATGGGGAGATTATCCTAGATTACCAAGGTGGGCCCAATGTAATCACATGGGTCCTTATAAGAAGGAGGCAGAAACATCAAAGGTAGAGAAGAATAAGTGACAATGGAAGCAAGAGGTTGGAGGGATAGGAAGATGGGAACTCTGAGAAAAGCCATGTGGGCAGCCTCTAGAATTTGGAAAGACAAGGAAGAGAGCCTCCAGAAGAAATGTAGCTTGGCTGCCACCTTTATTTTAGCCCAGAAACACCATTTTGGGGCTTCTGACCTCCAGAACTATAAGATAATAAATTTCTGTTGTTTTAAGATACTAGATTTCTGGTAATCTGTTACAGCAGGATTAGGAAACTAATATAACATGATTATGCTATGGACACAAACCCCAGGAACTGGAAACAATGTTTGACTTCTTATTTAAACTATATGCTCCTTGTGCATTGGAAGCTCTGCCCATCACTCTCACTCAAGTATCCAGGCTGATGGAGCAGATCCCATCATGAGCGTGTGGAAGAGGGAATTGGAATTGGGAAATTGATGTGCAGAGGTTCTTGAAGTTAAATGCAAATCCCAAAAGTACTTCCATCACTTCTGCCCATAAGTCAATGGTCTAAAGAAGTCTCATGGTCCCACCCAATGCAAAGGTCCAGGAACACACCAGGAGGCCAGAGAGTAAACAGCCAGAAATATTTGATGAATCATAAAATTCCCAGAGAGACACTCAGTGTGGCTCTCTGTCACATCAGTTAACCTCTCTGCACATCAGTTTCCTCATTTGTAATCGGGTCTCACATTACAGGCTCATTGTGAAGATTATGTGCAATGATACATGCAATGTACTCAGCTCAAGGCCCACTCATGATGTGTACTCAGTCAATGAGAGCTATTGTTGATAAACACTGGAGAAAACCTACAGGATCACATAAGGATGAATAATCAGTCTGTTTTCCTCCAGCAGCGGCAGGTGAGGAAGAGCTGCAGGTGATTCAGCCTGAGAAGTCAGTGTCCATCGCAGCTGGAGAGACGGCCACTCTGCATTGCACCCTGACCTCCTTGATCCCTGTGGGGCCCGTCGAGTGGTTCAGAGGGACAGGGACAGGCAGAGAGTTAATCTACAGTTTCAAAGGAGGACACTTCTCCCGGGTAACACATGTTTCAGACAACACAAAGAGAAACAACGTGGATTTTTCCAACCGCATCAGTAGTATCACCCCAGCAGACACTGGTGTCTACTACTGTGTGAAGTTCCAGAAAGGGAGTCCTGACGTGGAGTTTAAGCCTGGACCAGGCACCCAGCTCACCGTGAGTGGTGAGTACAGAGTGGGCCTCCTTTGTCCCCTCGTGTGTGACAACAAATCAGTAATAACGCCTTCCATTCTTTGAGTAACAACAAGAATCAGATGTAGCAGTGGGTGCTTATTCATGATCTGATGTCACCCCCTTCCACAGATCAGGGAAGTTGAGCCTGGAGAAGTCGTCCTAGTTGCTTAAGGCCCCACAGTTGGTAAAGGGAGGGAAAAGTCTGAACCCCCATCTGCCTGGATCCACAGCCCTTGCCTTTTCCAATCCTGTCCATCATTTTGGTTCCAGGGATGAGGGAACTGAAAGTCTGAGTGACTCACAGAGTCACAAGGCCAGACCTTGCCCCTGCCTCCAGAGAGTGCCCCTCAATATGAAGGAGGCTTCCTTTACTCAGCAGTTACTAAGCACCTACTATGTGCCAGGCTGTGCTCTGGGTTCTGGGGAAGCAGCAGTGGACACAGTAGGCCAAGGCTCTTCTCCCAGGAAGCTCACATTCTCTTGCCTTCCTGTGAGAAAAGTAATCCATGCAGGGCAAGGAGAGGAGAATGTGTGTTTCAACACTTCACCTTCAGAAACATCACATTGAGAGGAAAACCCTAAGAGGCACAGAATCACTGTTTACTCTGAGGAGATGCACAGAGGTTGGGTGTTTGCTCTGTGTCTGTCCAGAAAACCCTCGTGTGATTCAGGAACCAACTCACATAGTCACTGAAGGCTCTGGGCAGAGCAGGGAGATCTCAGAATGTCCCTCACCCAGGGAAGAAGCTCCCTATGTGGGTGATTTAGGGCTTCTCCATTGAGGCAACAACATTGCTCATTTGGGGTTTCCTGCCAGAGGCCCAGAATCCTGAATCCTAAAACTTCACAATGGACATTTAAACCCACCTAGTCCAAGCCACTGTGTACAGATGGGGAGACTGAGGCCAAGAGGTGTTGGGGGACTGGCCCTCAGTCACATGGCCAGTGAGTGAGGGGATTGTTCCGGAACCTGATCTCATTCTGGGAAGACTCCTTGCCCTGGCATTGGACACTCTTTCCATGGAAGAGCTTGGCCCATAGGAAGCACTGAATGAAAACTTGTTAAACCAAACCATTGAACAGGGAGCCAGCGTATTTCCTTTTCATCAGTTTCCCAAAGGTTCAGAATGCCCATCACATTCAGCCCCTAAGGCCCAAGGTGACTGGGAACTTCTCCCAATTTTCAAGCACATCATCCCCAATCAAGCATTCCATATCAACCCTGAGAGCTGCCATTGTTTCCACAGCTGCCTAACACTCCATCGTATGGAGACAGAATCCCTCATTTTACAGTCATCTATTGATGGATGCAAAGTTGTTCTCAACCTTGAGATATTAAAACAGCACTGCAGTGGGGCCAGCCCAGTGGCGCAGCAGTTAAGTGCGCACGTTCCACTTCTTGGTGGCCCGGGGTTCGCCAGTTTGGATCCCTGGTATGGACATGGCACCACTTGGCACGCCATGCTGTGGTAGGCGTCCCACATATAAAGTAGAGGAAAATGGGCACGGATGTTAGCTCAGGGCCAGGCTTCCTCAGCAAAAAGAGGAGGACTGGCAGTAGTTAGCTCAGGGCTAATCTTCCCCCCCCCCCCGCCAAAAAAAAGAACCAGCACTCACCACTCTACTCAAGTGGGAGATGCCCACTGGAAGTGGCACTGCTAGGTCAGTGGGTATGTGTATTCTAATTTGTTGGATTTTTACCTAATTTCCTTCCTAGATGTGGTAGCAACAGAGTCTCCCCAGAACCCTGCCCCCTACTCAGAGTTCACCTCTGGAGCCTGTTGTCCTCCTCTGTAGGATGAGAGTGATGACCCGCCCTCCCAGCACTAATAGAAGGATTAAAAAATAATGTATGTGAAGGCTCTTAGTGTCACACGCTTATGATCAGTGATATAGTCACAGTCATGTTTATTGTTCATAAATGCTCCTTTTGTAGCCAAACCCTCTCCCCCCATGGTATCGGGCCCCACGGCGAGGGCCCCGCCCGAGCAGACAGTGAGCTTCACCTGCGAGTCCCACGGCTTCTCCCCCAGAAACATCACCCTGAAATGGTTCAAAAATGGCAATGAGCTGTCAGCCTCCCAGACCAACGTGGACCCAGAAGGAGACAGCGTGTCCTACAGCGTCTCCAGCACAGCCCAGGTGCTGCTGGCCCCGGGGGATGTTCGCTCTCAGGTCATCTGCGAGGTGGCCCACGTCACCCTGAAGGGGAGCCCTCCTCTTCGTGGGACGGCCAACTTGTCTGAGACCATCCGAGGTAGACGCCCTTCACCCCCAGCCCAAGCCCGCACCTGCACCCAAGCTCCCAAGCCAGCTCCTCCCCCTGCTGTTTCCTCCAGGCCTTGAATTTCCCTGAACCCAATTCCTGACAGTCCTTCCCAATCACCAGGCTCCTGGATGTGCTGGTCACTCACTCCAGTTTCAGTGGTAGCTGTGAGGTGAACACCCATCACATGCCAAGCTCTGTGCTAGGTAGTGTCACCTACTTACCAGTAGCAGCTCCAATTACTGAGCACCTACTCGAAGCCCAGCCCCTCTGTGCTTGGTGATTTCGTTTATTTCACTACAGTTATTATCTTCCCACTGTGTGCCAGGGGCTGTGCTGGTTGATTTCACTCATTGTGACCCTAATAGGAGCTACCAGTCCCTGAGCACCTACTGTGTGCCTGGCACTGTGCTTAGTGATTCATTCATATGCAGAGAGTACCTTCACTGTTTGAGCCCCTGCAGCATGCCTGGCACTGTCCTGGGTGAGTCCCATCTGTGGTGGGAGCTAAGTTATGGAGCCCTCCTCTGTGATCTGTCTGTTCCATAAGGTCAGAGCTTCTGCCCTGTGCTGTTTCAGTTCCGCCCACCTTGGAGGTTTCCCAACACTCCATGGCAGGGAACCTGGCGAACGTCACCTGCCAGGTGAACAAGTTCTCCCCCGGCACCTAAAGCTGACCTGGTTGGAGAATGGAAATGTGACCCGAACAGAAACAGCCTCAACCCTCATAGAGAACAAGGATGGGACGTTTAACTGGACGAGCTGGCTGCTGGTGAACTCATCTGCCCACAGGGAGGATGCGCTGCTCACCTGCCAGGTGGAGCGTGACGGGCAGCCAGTGGTCACCAAACACCATACCTTGGAGGCTTCTGCCCACCAGAAGGAGCAGGACACAGGTGGAAGCCCTGGTGAGCCCTCCACTCCAACTCATGTGGCTCTTTTTAAATTTTATCCTTTTTTTAAATGCTAAAAGTAGCAGTTATGGGGCCGGCCTGGTGGCGCAGTGGTTAAGTTCACATGTTCCGCTTCAGCAGCCCAGGTTCACTGGTTCGGATCCCAGGTGTGGACATGGCACCACTTGGCATGCCATCCTGTGGTAGGTGTCCCACATATAAAAAAGTAGAGGAAGATGGGCACGGATGTTAGCTCAGGGCCAGTCTTCCTCAGCAAAAAGAGGAGTATTGGCAGCAGTTAGCTCAGGGCTAATCTTCCTTAAAAAAAAAAAAAAGTAGTAGTTAAACTTGTTATAGAATAATCTAGAAGTCTATAAATATAAAGTAGAACTTGGAAGTGATCTCCCATCTGCCAAATCCCACACTCCAAGAGTCACCACTGGTAAGAGTTTCAGACATATCTTTACAGATCTTTTGACCTAAATACACATTAAAGAAAGAAGGGAAGGATGGAAATCATCTTGTTCAGAGCATCCTGCCTCCTGCTTTCTTCACCTGGCCATGATTACGTCACCATCCACGTCAGCCCACCTCCTTCCCCCTTGCTCATTCTAACCTCTGCCTAGTCCCTATTCTACCCTGGACTTTTCCATTCACATCAGTAATGTCACCCCAGCAGATGCCTGCACCTAGTACTCTGTGGAATTCTGGAAGGGGACCCCTGAGGTGTGGGGTTTGAGCCTGGACCAGGCACCTAGTCAACCCTGAGTGGCCACAGCTCGCCTCCTTTGTTCCCTGATTTCTGACAATGCACCAACAATAATAAGAACCTCTCACTACACATTTACTACGCGCAAATTCCAGTTCATCTGTGATCTCCTTTCCTGCTTCAACCACCTGTGAGTTTGGAGTTTTACAGAAGAGACTCAGGGAGCAATGGGTGGGGGGGGCGGGATGTTGTTGAAGACATCTTGCCATTAGACCAGGTGATTGGGCTACACTAGTCAGGTAAATCTGAGTCCCTGAGGACGGGGACCACCAGCCTGTACAGGAAATATGTGCTAATTAGAGACACCTTACCCCTCAGCTGGGCATTGTCCAAGGACCTACAGAGTCCTCGTTTCTAGGAAAAAAATATGTCTTATTTCTCTCTCAGGTAACATCAGAAGAGAATCGAGTCAGGTTTCCAGGCGTCTTTACTCCAGAAAACCCTTCAAAGGGCCATATCCCTTCCCACATGCCCGATGGTGTTGTCCTGATCTGCTGAGTCAGCCCTGGGACACCGAATGTCCATGGCCCTGCCTGCTGGAATAATAAAGATAGTAAATTGTCTAATTCCCCTCAAAAAAGGAGACATACAGAAGTTACATAATTGTGTCCACTAATAACTTGTCATGTGTGCACATCTAGATGCAAGTGGAGTCCACTACTGTGTGGTCATGTGATTAACGACGTTGGCTTTTCTACAAAACCAATACCATCACACACTTAATAAAATTAACAATATCATCTAAAATGCATTATATGCTCACATTTTCCGAAATATCTTTTATAGCTGTCTATTTGAACCAAAATTTGTATTAATTCATCTATAAGTGCTTGGTAGAATACTCCTGTGAAACCATCAGGGTCTTGAGAGGTTTTTTTCATGGATTTTTAAATTATCAATTCAGTTCTCTCAATAGTTTAGGTCTATTCAAATTATACATTCATATTGAGTGAATTGTGGTAGGCTGTGCTTTTTGAGGAATTTGGTCCATTTTCTATGGTTGTCAAATCTGCCTGTAGGGTTGTTCACAATCTCCCCATATTATCTTTGTGATGTCTGCAGGGTCTGTGGTGATGTCCCCTCTTTCATTCCTGATACTGGAATGTGTCATTTCTCCTTTCTTCATCGTCAATCTTGCTACAAGTTTTCAATATTATTGATCTTTTCAAACAACCTGTTTTTTGCTTTAGAGGTTTTCTCTATTGCTTCTCTGTTTTCAATTTCATTGATTTTTCTCCTCTTTTCTTTACTGTGTCCTTCCTTTTGCTATGTTTACTTTGCTCCTCCTTTTCTCATTTCTTGAGGCAGGAACTGAGATGGCTGACGTTACACTTCTCATTTGTCTGGTCTCCTCCTGTGCTGGGCAGTTGGGAGAGTGGAATCTAGACCCCCAGCTGCTGGGTTCTCCCTCCAGTCCTCAGGAGCCAGCCAGTCTGCTTCTTCATCCTCCTTCCAGAGTCCTCCTGTACTTGTACCTCATGTTGTTTCTAAGGGTCAGAGTTGTACTGAACAGAGAGAGCAAAGAGAGTTGGGTCTATGCTGTCCTGTCTGAACCAGCCTGGTTTTGCTCCTTAGTCTCTATCTCCTGTGGGGCTCGGAACATGACTGTTACTTCTGGGTGCTCTCAGTGTGCCTGACCGAAAACGCTCACTAGCGTAATGAGGCTGGACATGGTTTTTGGGTTGTCCTGGTTGGCAGGCAGGAGCAAAGTGCAAGATGCATTTGAGATCCTGCTGCAGAGGGATGCCCAGCCTGCCCTGGGCATCTGATGGTTCCAGCCACTGCAGTATTGGGTGCAATGGTTTTAGCATGAAGATGCACATCTTTATGTTTGTTTTTATGGTATTGGGATGTTTTACCATATTACTAGTTGAACGTTCCTCTCTTCTCTCAGTACAGCACAATCCAGGTATGTTAATGGAGTTTGTGTTGGTTGGTTTTGACAGTGGGAGAAAGGTTCTGAGACCTCTGAGTTTTTTGGTTCTCTTTGTCTTTTTAGACCTTACATAACCCTCCCCTTGATTTCCTTTTTCTCTTCACCGTGAAATTGCCAAACACTACTTCTTCCTTATTTTTAGCCTTTTTGCCCCACAAGTTATGCACTTTAAATTGAGCCTGTCCCTTTAGTCACATCTGTCCTTTAAAATGTCCCAGCCTCCTTGTATTAGGGTCCTATTGCTGCTGTAACAAATCACCACAGTTTTAGTGGCTTTAAAGAGCACAAATTTATGACCTTACAGTTCTAGAGGTCAGGAGTCTACAACGGGCCAGGGCTGCACTCCTTCTGGAGGCTCCAGGGGAGAATCCGTGTCCTTGCCTTTTCTAGCTCCTAGAGGCTGCCCCCATTCCTCAGTAAGGGCCCCCCTCACTCTGACCTCTGATTCTGTCTTCACATCTTCTCCGAATCTCCTGCCCCCCTCTTTCACTTATAAGGATCTTTGTGATCACACTGGCTCCACTCAGATAACCCAAGATGGTGTCCCCATCTCGAGATCCTTAACTTAATCACCAAGGCCAGTGCCTTTTACCATGTAAGTAACAGATTCACAGATTCTGAGGATTCTGTGACAACCTTTTTCAATTGGACACAATTTGAAACGCCTTCCTATGGTCTATGTTCTCATGTGCAGGACACTTTTCCAACATTTTCAAATTTATGGTGGATTTACTATTGGTGGTGGGATTTCCAAATAACTCTCAGGCTCCTTTGCTAGCTGTCCTGTCACTTTTCCTGGCGGCTGGGTGAGACTGGGATGGCAGCCTAGTGACAGATTCTGCACTATGGTTTGGTGATTTTTTTTTATTGACTCAGTTATTTTGAAGTCTTAGCATTTTTCTCTTCAACTAATACTGAGAGCCACTTTGAGTAGAATTTACTTTCCCCTCTTTGTGTTTTCTTGTGGTTTGAGAGGCCATTTTTGGAGATAAGGAGTTGTGCTGCTGCCATTGTTCTCAGCACCCAGAAGTCACTGAAGATTCCTGAGTGCTTCGTCCCATATGTCCCTGTCCCACATCTCAGGGTCCATCCTTCCCCATCAGGGCCCAATTCTGGCAGAGCAGGCCACTAAAGCTGAGAATTCAACCTCCTCTGTAGCTCTGCTAATGTAATTGTGTCCTGGGCCCATCCTCACTTCTTCCACCCTCTGGCTCTAGGAGATAAGACTCTGCAGTGCTGCCAGGTAGTCCTCTGGCCCTCAGACTTGACCTTTCCCCTGTGATTAATCTCTCTAAACTTTTCATTATCTTTCTCCAAAGGATTGATGCCCCAGCAACAGCCATCCAATTCCATAGTGCTTATAATTACAATTTTTCAGCTCAATTTCAAATGCCTGATGCCAAGGTATTCCCTTCCTCTGGTTACACCCTCCCAGTTCACCACTGGTGAAGTCTGAACACTTGCACTACAAGGGGAGGCCAGGCCTACCTCTGCTCCACTTCCCACCAGTGCCGGGGTCCTCTTGGTCAGCCAGTCCAGTGATCCAGTTCCATATTTGCATTTAGAGTTTGCTTTCCAGACCACTTCCAAACGAACTCCCATAGGTCGGTTACACTGGGAAGCAGACTCTGAAATGGAGATGAGAATGCGGCAGCTTACTGTGGCGTGCTGCCCGGATCAACATGCCTGTGTGAAGGAACGGGACTGGGAAAGGGAGCTGTTGACCAGAAAGCAGGCACAACAAAGACTCGACCCCTCTCACAGAGCTGTACAGCCAGGGGGTCTTTCTGAACTGTTCTCAATGGAGGGGAGCGGGCTGAGCCTGTTGACTCCAGTTCAGCCAGCCCTTGGATGCAAGCTGCCCTCCAAAAGGAGGTGAAAACTTGGGCAACACCGCTGCCTTCATCTGAGAGAAAGTCTCAAAGAGGTGCTCAGTGAGAACTGTCATCCTGCAACACCCCCAGGAACACAAAAGGGTGAGGTGTCCTCTCCGTCCTTAAGGATTATTTTACTTACAAAAAATTATTTTAATACCTTTATTTATTTAATTTTAAAAGCAAAAACTGATTATTGTAAAAATGCAAAGAACGCAAACAGTGCTTCCTCAGATGACTACTTTCCAGGTCAAACAGAAGGATTTCAGCTGACATGGGCACTGGGCTCCTGGTGGGCCGGATGGTGTCTGAAGCCCCTCCCAAGCATGAGATCTCTTCCTAGACTCACCAGAGTGTTCTCCTGCCTGGTCTCAGGAGATCAGCCCACCCTGAGGGCTCCCTCGGCTCCTGAGAACATGGGGTCATCCAGCCTCACCCCAGTCTGAAAGGGGGCACCCTTGCAACTCTCTCACCCACCGTGAAACCTGTCCTCTCTCCACTTGCATGCTGTGTGGACATTCATTCCTATGACCCTGAGACGCTGGACTTGTCTTGGTCCAAAAGGCGAGGTCTCTGGGTCATTCTACAGGACAACAATGATGGATTTCCCTAGGTTTGAATCTCACTAATCTTGTGACTCTCTGAGCCTCAGTTTCCTCATCAGAATGAGGATAATGGTACCTGCTCCGTAGAGGTGGGAGGATCAAGTAAGTAAACCAGGTGCCACAATTATGAGTCACTGAGGACACATTCTCTCCACACTTCCCTCAGGAGGACAGCCCTGGCAGCCTGAGAAGGGGGTGAGTGAGAATGAGGAACCTCTGAACCCTGATTTCTGCCTCAAGCCTGAGTGCAGGGCAGGATGCAGGTTCAAAATCTTCAGAATGTTGATGGCCCAGGTAGCCTCAGATGGACTCAGTGTAGCCCTGGGAACAACTCTTGTGTGGCCCCTCTAATGGCTCCTCATGTTCCTTGATTTCTAGGCCAAGAGATGTCTTCTCCACTTCTGGCTGTCCTCTTCCTAGGCCCAAAGGTGCTGCTGGCCATCGGCGTGTTTGCCATCTATGTCCACAGGAAGTGGAGGGCCTGACTGTAAGTGCGGGGCCGGGACAGCAGGATAAGGTCTGTCCCAGAAAGGGCAAATCAGCAAGAGGGGCCAGCCCACAGGTCACACAGGGTCAGGACCCATGTGGAGTAAGGAGAAGGTCACACATCTCTCTCAATACCCTCAGGAGTATCGTGGATCCTCTAAGAGGTTCTCAATGCCAGGAACCGTGTGGAGTCCTGCAGAAGGTGGGCTGGAATAAGGGTTTTTAGAGGGCATCCAAAGAGTTCCGGGGGTTCTATGCAGGAAGTGGGCAGAAGCGGGCTGAATGAGGGGCAGCTAATGGGATGGTTCCCTTGGAGACCATCTCTAGATTATTCTAATGCTGGGGCTCCAAGAGGCAAGAGGAATCCACACTTTACATTAGTGTTGAGAAGTCTCAGATCTGCAGCTCTGACAGTTTTTCCCACTCTGACCCTCTGAGTGACATAGTAGAAGGGATGGGGAAGGGGGACCAGGATGTGGGGAGGAAGGCTGAGGTGGCAGAGTCCTTCTCAGTGGCTGCCTGTCTTCTCACTACAAGTTTCCCAGCAGGAGAACAGCACCAGAGACATAGGAGGCACTCAGGGAAGATTTCTGTAACGATGAGCAGACAATGAAATGTGGACATGTTTCCCACAGCTCCTTCTTTCCTCTCCTGCTACATACCACCCTCAGTCTCTGTTGCCTCCTTCCTTCCCTGAGGGGTCTAGCTTAAGAGAAGGAGCCTACAGGAAGTTTTCACGACTCTGCTCCTAATGTCCCCCATCCGCAAAGACCTGCCTGTTCACACACTCCTGCTGTTCCTTCTCTCAGTCCTTGATGCCCCCAGAGCTGGGTCTTCAAATACGGTCCTGAACAGGAGCCATGGGAACTAGCTCTGGGGACTGACTCAAGACATCTCCCCAGAAGGTGAGAAACAAGTCAAATCTACACATATCAGGATGGCTCTCATCCATCATCTTGGGACTTGGCCACGAACTACACACTCATGGCCATGCTCTCAAGAGTTCTTCTGTCTTCTGGATTCCTGTGTGGCCCCAACTCCCCAGCCTTGTTGAGGTTTCCTATCGCCTCTTGAGGTCAAAGGAACCCTCATCCTAGTTTTAAAATAAAATTTATTCTCCTTTCCCTTTGCCTAAATGTCCTACTCCTCAAACCCAGAAAGAACATTTCCCTCCTCTCTCTCTGATGAAAACAGTGATTCTTCTATCATCCTGCATCCTTCCCAACCCTGTTGCTCATCGTACACATGCTGTCAGTCTAAAAGCCTTGGAGTCATCTTTGATTTCTCTTTCTCTTCTACCCAATATTCAATTCTGCCTTCAACATGCTTATGTCCAGTGGTGAGATGGCAAATGTTTAAAAATTGATTCTCCGAAAGAAATTTTTTAAAAAACTGATTTGTAGTGCTTGCCAATTTCCGTGGTATTTCAAGCTACCAACAGTTTAACAATCAGCTTGCAAAATTCCTGAAAATGTAACAATCGGCTTGCATGAGGCTGTCCAAGCCTTCCCCTGCACACCACTGAGTTATAGCCCTAATCTGCACACGTCTCACCCACCACTACTCCCTGGTCCCAGCCACCATCATCTCTTCCTGCACCATCGCTATGTCTCTAACTGGCTTTTGTTTCAACCAGTGATTCTTTGGAAATATAAATCAAATCATGTCACTCCTCTGCTGCTTCTCCCAATATGTCTGCATGGTTCACTCATTCCCTTCTTTCAAGTCTCTGCTCAAATGTCACTCTATAAACTTTCCATAAGCCACCGTATGTGAAATATCAATTCCTCTCTCTCACCTGGGATTCCAATTCCTCCTAACCTGGTTAATTTGTTTCCTTAGCACTTATTACCATCTGACATACTAAAGATACGCAGTAGACTTTGCACAGTAGTGCAGGACCATAAAAATGACCACGCAAACTGAAACCATGGGAAGTGATCTCCATAAACGGTGGGATTAATAATGATTGTGCTGTGACCTTTAACGGTTTTTCCAAAACATTAGAAATTCTCTTACTGTCAGTTTTAAATGTAGAGGGAAATGAAAAAATAGAAAAACTAGTATTTATTTATATACTGTCATTTGAAACATGAGAAACGTTGAGAATTAAAGTGTTTTATTTCTTTGTAAAAACTTATCCAGAGCAGTTTGAACAGTGTTTGCCTTCTTCGTGTTGTGTAATTTATGATATAGAGCGAGCATCTTTTCTGCGCCTTGGTGAATCATCACACTCCTTTCTAAGTTTGCATCAGCTTCCAACATTTTGTCCCTTGTGCTTTCAATGTCCTGAAATCTTTACAAAAGTTCCTTTAATTTGAAGTATTCGCTGGTGTCACTGCCTCTGGGACATTTTCACCCTTTTCCTCACCATCACTTTCCTCATTTATGTGGTAAGTGTGCCTTCACTGAGTTCCTTTGGCTGCACATCTGGAATCTTTCTAACAGCATCAGTGTCAACATCCCCACAGGCAGCCGCTTCTTCTATAACTCCATGTACATTTTATTTGAATTTCACTTCCAGTATTACAACTTTTCATTCCTCCACTGCATTTTCATCTGTTTCCCATTCTCTTTGGCAATAATTGATTTATGCAGAATCTCATTGGGTTCATCACTGGGAGACAAGAAGACAACACAACTACATGCTTTGCTGTCTGTACATTAACTGAGTTACAGAATCACAGTGACCAATTACTACAGACTTTGAAAGAAGTCATGTGATGTGTCACTGACCATGATGAGCACCTGTTCGTTACATAGTGATTTGTGGACTGGAGAACAGCTAGCAGCGAAGTTTCTACTTGTGCAACTGCTCATGGTAAATTTACTGTGGTAACTGGAATTTGAACCATGTGAGGGGGACTGATGCTATTTAACTAAACTGTAGTAGCTGAAATTCATGCATATCAGCACCATGCAAAGTGAGATCTGCTTGTGTGCATGTCTCTTCTTCAAATAGGATGTCAGTTCTAACAGAGAAGGGACTACTTGTATCCTCAGTTGCCACAACGGTGACTGCCGCATAGTGTTATCATCACATTTTTGAAAAAATAAATGAATGAATACTTCATTGAGAACATTAATTTCTACTAAATGTTGGGTGTCAAAATAAAATGTTTCTTCATTCAATCACCTGACACTTGTCTTTTAAAGCCCTTTTGTTAAAGACTAATCTCACCTCTTTGCATTTGAAAAATCCCATCAAAAATTCAACACATCCAAAAAACAAATAAGTGCCAAAAAAAAAAAAAAAGAACCCGCCACCAAAAAAAAAAAACCACCCATTGATTGGAGTATGTCAAACGAGTGCACAAACCAATTGAAAGAGCTCCCAAAGGCCAAAGCTGGAACAATTTGAGCAAGAAAATCAATTAAGTATTTGATTATTCTGTGGTATGAATGTTCTTTTCCCCATGAAACTGACATATTATAATCCTAATGCCCAACGTGATGGTGTTAGAAGATGGGACCTTTGGAAGGTGATTACATTATGAGGGCTCCATCCTCATGAAGAGGATTAGTGCTCCTATAAAAGAGACCCCACAGAGATTCCTAAACCCTTCCACTATGTGAGGATACAATGAAAAACCTGTTTTCTGGAAGAGGGGCCTCACCCATCCTTGCTGGAACTCTGATCTCAACTTCCAGCCTCCAAAACTGTGAGAAATAAATTTCTGTTGTTTATAGCCATCCAGTCTATGGTGTTTTGTTATAGCAGCGCCAGCTAAGCCAAAATCTAAATAAACTATGGACTTTGGTTTATAATAATGTACCAATATCAGTTCATCGATTGTAACAAATGTACCATGCTAATATGAGATGTTAATAACAAGAGAAACTATGTGCAGCAGTGTATAGGAACTCTCTGTATTATCTTCCCAATTTTTCTGTAAAATCTAAAATTATTAAAAAGAATAAATCTATTTTAAAAATTCAAAATCTTGTCCTCAGCTGGATCTCTGCTTCTTGCTCCCTCCAGGGGAACAACACAAGGAAATGTGTGGCAGGGAGAATTCTGTGTTAATACATGCAAGTTTTATCTCACTTCACGGGTCTGAGGTTCCTTCTCTTCCTTCCTCTGTCCTCTGCCAGCGCTCACCCCAGAGCCAGGCACTCAGAGATCCCAGAGGAAGCTGCTTCTCAATCTCCCATGATATTCATCTTGAACTTCTCCAGTTAGTAAAGCCCAGGTCAGACTAAATGAGGTCAGAGAACTTTGGGTTACCTGGTTATGGTGAGGTCACATAAAGACCTAACTCTGGGAGAGTTAATTTGGAATTGCCTCAGCTGAGAAGAGCCACCTTGCCCAAGGTCATGCCTGGTAACATGCCACATCCAATGACTCATCAACATAGTGATATAAAGGCCCAGCCCTCTCCAGCTCAGGTCAACTCTTAAGGAGCATCCTAGCACCAGAGCTCAATGGGAGGCCAGCTGAGGTCTTCACTGGGAGTTCATTGCAGGTCAGCTTCTCCTTCTATACAATCCAGCTTCCTTCTCCTCCCTTCCACAGATATTGATCCTAAATGTAATCCCTGAAAAACGGTCTATTTGTTAATCCTCATCTCAGAGTCTGTTTCCCAGGGAACCAAACCTGGGACAAGTAGGCTGTGTTGAGTACCAGACAAATTGGGTACCCCTTCGACTCTAGGGGCCACACAGTGATGGAAGGAGAAATTGTTTACGCCACCTTATTTCATATGCCATGTAGTCTTACTATACCAAGAGCAATGAGAATCCACACAAGTGTTTATGCACGAGAGGGGTGTAATCAGATCTGTGTTGTAAAAGACCCCTCTGGCTGAAGTAGGAGAAAGAGATTATTGGGGGGGAGGCAAAAGAAGATGGGGGTAGCCTAGTTAAGAGGTAGTTGTTTTCATTCAGGCAAGAGATGATGATGGAGATGGAGAAACAGATTCAAGATATATTTCAGAGGTAAAACTAACAGGATCTGGTAGGAAATAGATACAAACGGACAAGTGAGGGTGTAGAACATGGGTCCCTTCTTGGTTTTACCTAATGGGTAGATGATGTGCCACATACTGAACAGGGTGGGGTGGGAGAAGAGAATGTCTGAGTGCAGATTACGAACTGAGCTTTGAATATTTGAGGTAGACAAATGAAGATTTCAAGGTCAAAGGATATATAGGTCTGCATCATGGGCTCAAGGCTACTCAGATACAAGGAAATAGATTCAGGACTTGAACCTAGATTGCATCTAGTTCCAAAGTCAGTGTTCTTGAACATCAAGGCACTAAAATTCCTACACTCTGAGAGGTTAGAGTCCGATGGAAGGTGTGAAGATTGCTGGAGATTCCTGACCCTGGACATCAATCACAGATGCTCACAGCCACGTCTTAGCTTCTGGATTCAGGATGGAACCTCAACATGGATGAAGTCTTCCGCCCAAATGCCCAATATCTCCCGATCCAAAACAAAGGGATCCTCAGGCAGGCAGAATCTCTACTAGTCTGCATGATTCCACTCACCCGTTTCCAACTAGAATGTGGCCACATCCTGGTGGCAGGTATCTGAGAGGTCTCCACAATCCAGTCAGGAACCTCGTTCACCACACAGGAAGTCAATGAGTGTGTCTGCTCTCCCATGATGGCCAGGATTCTCTTCTGGGAAATGGTGAGACCAGAAGGAGGGGCCCTGTGAGTCCCTAACTCCCAAGTCTTGTTTGGAAAAGCCCTCTTGGCGGGGATGAGTCACTCTCCTGAAACTTGAGCTTCCCCTGGTCTGCCCTGAGAGTTCTACTCCCAGCTCTGCTGTCTCTTATTCTCTGAGGACAACCAGTGTCTCCTCCTCCTTACCCCTCCCTGAATTAATTTCACAAAACACAGTGAGATTAGGGAGTCCCTCTGTTCTGCCAGAAAAACTGGTCTATCTCAGTAACGTTTTCCTCCAGTCCAGCCACATTCTACTGTGTCCAAGTGGCTGTGGAAAATTTACACATTTCTCTCAAACTGAAAAATGTGAGCGTAGGTGGCTTACCTGCCATTCTCTCCTGGCCTCATCAGCCAAGAGTTCCATTGTCTTCCTAATCTGCATCTTAAACCATCTGTGATTCTGATGATTTGCCAACCTGAAAGGAGAGATTATTACCAGGACCTGACACAGTTTGGGGTAATGATGTTGGTGGTAGTGGGGGTTGGGGACAAGTGGTGGACCTTCCAAAATGGATCAGTTCCTTGAAGTTCTACTCTCTCTTTATTTAGAGAATAAACTGTCCCTCTCTTCCCTCTTGAGGAGATAAGCAGAGGAACCATACTCTACCCTCATGGACATAGTAGTCCCATATGCACACCTGATTCTTTAGGTTTCCCATATCCTGATTTCCCCTTTCTCCACATCTCTCAGCACTAATTTTTCCACAAATTCAGTAGGAGAGATGAAGGCCAATCCCAAACTCCCTGGGGGTGTGCGATGGGCAGAGAGTTTTGATGTAGTAGTCACTCAATACATCTCCAAATGTGTTCAGTGATTTTTGGTAGTTAGATGGAGGAAGAACTAGTCTCTCTCTATGAACAATGCCCATTCATAATACTAGCCCTCTCACTCCATATCCTCCTCTTTCCTTAGTTAGAGGCTGGGAAATGTAACTAGGGAGGCGAAGCATCCTCTGGACTGACTCCCCTCTGACAGCACTCAGAGTAGGAGCTGCCTCCACTTGCAGAGGCCTCTCAAAACTCTGTGTGTGGCTGCTCATATATGTCATTAAAAGAACTAATGGATGAGGCTCGAGCATGATCTAGATCCATGTTCCTCAGTCCTGCCTAGGCCAGAGCATGGGAAATGGGATTTGATTTTGAGTTTCTTTCCTGGAACCATAGATGACATATTCCAGGTGCAATAAGATGTCACAGACTGCATCAACTGGGGAGACAATCACCTTGAGTTGCAGTGTACCAGATTCACTCCCAAATGGACCTGTCTTATGGTTCAAGGGGACTGGGCCAAACCAGGAATTAATCTACAATTTCGAAGGAGGTCTTTCTCCCAGAATAAAAGAAATTGGAAACAACACCAAATCTGACAACACAGACTTTTCTATCTATATCAATGAGATCTCTCTTGCAGATGCCAGCACCTACTTCTGCGTGAAGCTCAAGGGAAACCTGATAGGGAGTAGTAGTCAGCTTGGGACACTCAGGTGCCTGTTATTGGTGAGGATGTCTCCTCTACCCCTTGGTGTGTGATATCATCTCAGTAATAACGTTCTCCATTCATTGAATAATTGCAATATGCCGAATATTATTGAGACTACTATGTATATTTGATCTCGTTTAGTTCTCTCAGCAGCTTGTCAGTTGAGTATTTTACAGGAAGGGAAACAGACTCAGAAAAGTTAATGGAGTGATGAAGAATATTTTTATCGATTTCTTAACATTCAACCTACTCCCAACAGCTAGACTAAAACAATTAAGATAACTTCATGTCCCTTACAATTAGTTGACTCAAATATGGGACTGGCTTAAGCCAATTTGTTTCTAGAAGAGAAAAGGACAACCCTGCAGAGAAATCTTGGAAACTGATCGATCCTCTTTCCTATTGGATGGAACAAGCAATTGTGTTGCTCATATGCCCCAGACAGACATCATCTCATCATGAAAGGAATCAGTTGAAAAATCTGCTCTAGATGAAAGCAGAGATGTAGAGAATGTGGGTTGACGACACGGCATGGCCATATTGTCCTGGTTTCAACTCCACCTCCAGACTCCCAATTAAGAGAGAGAAAACATTTTTTGTTAAGCCAGTTTGTGTAATGTCAGCACTGTCTTAAGAGATGCCAGGTGATAAAGATCCCACATTCAAAAAGTGTTGAAACACAATTGCAAATTTTTTTTTGCTCCCAAAGCATTAATTTTTCTTAGTTTTGCTACTTGTAATGACCTCTGAACTCTGAGCAATACCAACCTAGGAAATGATTAAATTCATGATACTCTAACACTGTTTATTGAGCATCTACTATATCCTACGCACTTTTCCTACATTATCGTATTTACTCACATAGCAAAGTGAGTATAGGAATGTTTGTCCTCATTGTACAGATGGGGAAACTAAGACTCAAGGAGATTCAGGAGTACAGACAGTAGGACAAAGAGGTGAGGTTATTCTGGGCTCTGTCCAGTAGGCTCTATGTTAGTGAAGAACCTTTTCTTACAAGGGATAAGAACTCAACACATTAATTTAAGCCAAAAATAGGAGTTGAGTGTTCCTGTA